TACTGGATAAGATGAATATGATACTTTGTTTTATTTGTTAATCAAACTTACAATAGTATAAGCATAATTCTGAGGAAGTAATTGAGGGCTATATTCTAGTATATGGTGGGGTAAAAGTCCAAATGCACAGATTAATAAAGAGATTTCATCGGAATGATCAACAGACTTAAAAAATTGTCTAGCTACCAGCTCATGCAGGAAAGTCTGTGAGACTTTTATCTCCAAATAACCACTAAAAAGCTGGAAGTGAAACTGGCTTACATAGTAGAGTGCTAGCCTTGAGGAAAAAAGCTTCAGACCCTGAGTTCAAGTTCCAGGAACAGAAGAAAATGGTCTAGCTGCCAGATGTAGTGGCTCATGCCTATAATCTTATTACTTGGGAGGCTGAGATCAGGAGGATCTCAGTTCCAGATTTCTGAAAAATATTTAAAGTGGAAGAGGTCTGGGGGTATGGCTCAAATAATAGACTGCCTTTCAAGGAAGGGTGAAGCAATGAGTTCAAATCTTATACCGCCAATCCTCCCCACCCCAACACACACACAAAAGAATATAGGAAATGTGTTCATCAAAGTTCAAGAAGTTTAAGTAGAAAACTGTGAGTAAATGTTGGTAGGCACTAAGGCACACTGAAAAGTACTTGGGCTTTGAAATCAACATAGATAGGAATGTCAGCCTTCCTACCACTGACTTTTGGCATAATTGCTCCTCTAACTGGATCCAATAATAGTACCCATTTCATTGGTTTATTATGAGGATTAAGCAACATTATTGTTAAGCACAGAAATGCCTGTTAGGGTAAAGTGCCCTGGCTGAGCTTATCATGCTTGACTTATTCAGAAGTCTCATGTTGCTTTCCTTATTCTTTGAAGATGTTTGCCTTGGCCAGTCCTGTATTAACTCTTCTTGATTATTATCTTTGTGAGCACAGATTCCTCAGCCAACTTATTCCCATTGGCCAATAACCTCCTGGAAGAAATGAGAAGTGGAGTTGCTAAGTTATTCTTGATTTCCTTTGTGCTCAAACTCCAGTTGAGATTTTTTTTGGTTGGTTGTGGGGCTTGAACTCTGGGCCTGGGTGCTGTCTCTAAGCTCTTCAGCTCAAGGCTAGTGCTCTACCTCTTGAGCCACAGTGCCACTTCTGGTTTTCTGGTGGTTAATTGGAAATAAGAGTCTCATAGACTTTCCTGTCTGGGCTGGCTTTGAATTGGGATCCTCAGATCTCAGCCTCCTGAGTAGCCGGGATTACCAGCACCTGGCTTCCAGTTGAGATTTCTTAATATTCATCCTTTCCTAGAAGCAATATTAGCACAAAATGTTTAACACATATGTGTGTGCGCACACACGCATGCGCACACACACAACACAGAAAAGTGTATGAACACAGAGCCTTCTTTGGAAGATGGGATGAGATCCTCAAGATAATGGTGTTCATTCTGGTTAGGTGGGCCATTATGACACTGGCCATAGCAGGGCGCCGGTGTCTCATACCAGTAATCCTAGCTGCTCAGCCCAAGTAGGAAAGTCTGTGACATTGTTATCTTCTATTAACCAGCAAAAAACCAGAAGCGGTACTGTGGCTCAAGTGGTAGAGCATTCACCTTGAGCTGAAGAGTTGAGGGACAGCACCCAGGCCCAGAGTTCAAGCCCCACAAATGACCAAAAAAAAAAAAGACACTGGCTGGGGGCGAGGCTCAAGTGAGAAAGTACTCATGTAGTATACTATACAAATCCTGTTCAAGCCTGAGAACCACCACTACTAACCAAAAAAACCGTCGCCACTAACCCAAAAAAAAAGGACTCAACAACCTATCTTCCAGGGAATCAGATAAGAAAATCAATAATTAAAAGTTAGAAGAAATGGGTGAGAGGTCAAAGGACAGCTATTTGCTCAGAAGGTCAGAATAGTCATTCCATGGACATAAACATATACTTCAATTTTGAAAATATTGAAATGGAAAAAATAGGGTTTGGCATTTAAAGAAATGTTGTTTAGAGGCCTTCACATGGTAATATCAAAGATACAGAATTTTCAGACATGGGATTTGCATGGCACTTAAAGCTTATGTTTTTGATTCTTTCTGTCCACCCTAACTATGTCCATGGGTCCAGTCTCACTAGATATTGAGACCATTAAATGTAAGAAGACCATTAAAGTATGAAGAAAGAAAACTTTATTCTTGAGAATAATAGTACACCAAAGCTATGTGTGCAGCATTGAAAACAAATACTCAGAAAGAAATGGAAGAAAGAAAAGGACTGAAAATAGAGGTGGAAGAAAGCTAGAAACCTGGAGATACTGAGGAGCAGTAGAGGGGTGGGCTGAGAGGGTCAGGGGTATGTGTAGAACTGAGCAATTCCCAATAATAAACACAGCTAATCTAAAACTAGAACTGTTCTGGTAGTTGAAAACTTTTACTATCAGTAGAAGCTTATGATATCTCACATCTGTTGGTAAGCTATTTTTTCACAAGATACTTGCCAATAATGTTGCCTAACAAAAGGCCATTGTGTCCTCTAGCAAGTTTAAAACAGTGTGTTAGAGGGTCATGGAGGTATTTATTCTGGCTAAAAGATCAAATAAAAGAAATAGAATAGAACAATTTCGTCAGTGCCAATGAGTTAACAGGTGTAACCAAAATTATCTTTAATGCTTACTGACTTCACAGAAAAGAGTCCAACAGAAACAAAAAGACTTTTGATAGAAGTATTGTACTCAACTTGTAAAACTGCTCAAATAAACAAGCAATGAGGGAAAATTCTAATGTGAGGTTGAATACTGCTGAAACTGATTATTTGTAGCTATGAAAATGGAACAAAGAAGCCTGTTGGATTCTTTAAGAAATAAATTACAAGTTGGGCAACAGTAATTCTAGCTACTCAGGGAGGCAATTCAAAGTCTGATTTTTTTTTTTTTGGTCGGTTGTAGGGCTTGAACTCTGGGCCTGGGCACTGTCCCTCAACTCTTCAGTTCAAGGTGAGTGCTCCACCACTTGAGCCACAGTGCCACTTTTGGTTTTCTGGTAGTTAATTGGAGGTAAGAGTGTCACAAACTTTCCTACCTGGGCTGAGTAGCTAGGATTATAGGCGTGAGCCACAGGCGCCTGGCCTTTAATATTCTTATCTCCACTAAACTTCCAAAAAAGCCAGAAGTAGATCTGTGGCTCAAATGGTAGAGAACCTTTGTAAAAGAAGCTCAGGGATAGCCCCACAGGCCCTCATGAGTTCAAGCCCCTGGACTGGCATCGAAAAAGAAAAAGAGAGAGGGAGAGACAGACAGACAGACAGACAGAGGATAATAGTCAGTGGCGGCATGGCTCTATTTAAATATAAACAGGTCAAAATTCAATAAATTTAAAGACACCTTTCCTCAGTTTCACCAGCTTCATTTCAGAAAGTTCCACTGGAGAGGACTGGTATAGGGAAAAGGGGTAGTCTCCATTTGCAGTCTAGATGGTGTGTGTGTGTGTGTGTGTGTGTGTGTGTGTGTGTGTTTTGTGTGCTTGCTTGGCTGGGGCTCTACCATTTGAGCCATGTCTCCCAGCCTCATTTTTACTGATTATTTTGAAGGTGGAATTTTGTGGACTTTTCCGGCTTCAACCACAACCATCTATATCTTAGCCTCCTTAGTTGCTAGGATTATAAGCATGAGCCAGTAGAAACTCATTCAAATAAATAGACAGAAATATTAAATTATTAGTTTAGTCAGTTTTTAAAAAAAACTTATCCTGGGATTTGAACTCTGGGTCAGGGAGCTGTCCCTGAATCTCTTTGTGTTCAAGGTTCATGCTCTACCACTTGAATCACAGCACCACTTCTGGCTTTTTCTGAGTACTTTTGTTGTAAATAAAGATTCTCATGGACTTTCCTTCCCTGGGATTGCTTCAGACTGGGACCCTCAGATTTCAGCCACCTGAGTAGCTAGAATTACAAGTTGAGCCACCAGCACCTGGATTAGTCATGGTTTATGAATGGGTTCATACTTAGTAATATTAAAGAATTGATTTAAAAATTACATGAGAAGCTGGGTACCGGTAGCTCATGCCTGTAATCCTAGCTGGCTGGATGACTTGAGTCATGCATCCACTTTCAGATTTTGACTGGTTAATTGGAGAAATAGTCTCATGGGTTTTATGCCCTGGATAGCTTTGAATGTCAATCTTCAGTTCTTAGCCTCCTGAGGAGCTAAGATTACTAACTAGGAATACCTGGGAAGGTTGTTTTTTAAACCCCAGCTCCTTATAAACCTTTCTCAACTAATTTCCCTATACTTTGCACCTTCAAAGGCCTGATGAGTTTTTTTGGTGGTAATATCATATACTTACATAAATGACAAACTGTAATATTGAAACACACATTTTTATTCACCTCAGAAGACTCAGATCTGAAGATCAGGTTTGAAGGCAGCCTGACAGGAAAGTCCTTGAGACTTTTTATCTATAATTAAACCACCAAAAAGCCAGAAGTGGAGCTGTAGCTCAAGTGGTAGAATGCCAGCCTTGAGCAAAAAAGCTAAAGGACAGTACCCACTATTTGATCCTAGTATGGGGGCACGGAAAAAATATTTGCAGTGTTCTCCTCCTCCTCCCTCTCCTCCTCCCCCTCCTCCTCCTCCTCCTCTTCCTCCTCCTCATCTCAGAGCTTTTTTGAAGCACAGCTCCACTTCTGGCTTTATAGTGGTTAACTGGAGATAAGAGTCTCTTGGGCATGAGCCACCGGTGCTCAGCCCATAATATAAGAGAACTTCCACTAGCCTCTTCAAATAAAGTACTGTGGGAAGTCAAGGAGCGTGCAAGCTTCTGCCGAGCTGAGGATGATTTTCCAAGTCCTCCATCTCACGGTTTTCTCCCCACTAATGCCTTTGCTCTCCTATCTTTCAGGTGGCACATGTCCTCAAGATATTTTTACAGAACCACCTTCAGGAAGGTTTGTGATGTTGGGATTGTGATTTTGCTCAAGCAAGTCAGATTCTTTATAAAGCACAACTAGACATTAGGGCTGGGATGGAGGAGTCGGCACCAGAGGAAGGCCAACTTCCAAGCTCTCACCAGGGCTCTCTGAGGAGGGCTGTGGCTGCTGCCCTGGCCTTCGATGGGGAGTCCACCATAGGTCGCAGGAAAAAGAAAAGGAAAGGGTCTCGACCAGAATCTATCATTATCTACCGGTCAGATAATGAGAAAACAGATGAGGAGCCAGAGGAAGCAGAAGGTGGAGATCGGCCTAAAGAAGAGGAAGGAGATGATTTCCTAGACTGTCCTATGGATGAAGGTGAGTCTCTCAGGGGGCCACTTGTTCAAAGCCGTGAGAAGGAAACTCAGAGAGAATGCTTTCTCCAGAAGACCAAAGGGCTATCAGCTCACTGATCTCTTTCTTCTTGGTAATACATTTCTTGCAGTGTTGCAGTCTGTTATGCTTTTGGAATTCTTTCAATAAATACTGCATTCATTTAGTCCCTACTATGTTCGATTCTAGGGAGAAGGAAATCACTACCATCCATAGTAAAAGGAAGAAGCTGATTCATATAAAGACATAACTAACAAAAACCAGGTGCTAAGGACTTGTGCCTGTAATCCTAGCTACTCAGGATGATTGAGGTTTGAAGTCAGCCTGGATAGAAGAGTTTGTGAGACTCCATCTCCAATTAATGAGCAAAAAGGAAGGCTGGGGGGTTGGAAAGGTGGCTCAGTGGTAGAGTGCTTGCCTTGCATGCATGAGGCCCTGGGTTCAATTCCTCAGCACCACATAAACAGAAAAAGCCAGAATTGTGCTTGGCTCAAGTGGTAGAGTGCTAGCCTTGAGCTGAAGAGCTGAGGGACAGCACCCAGGCCCAGAGTTCAGACCCACAACCGACAAAAAAGCAAGACTGGAAGCATGACTCAAGTGGAAGAATGCCAGGCATGATCAAGCCAGCCTAGTAAGTATGGGGCTTCTAAATTTAAGGCCCTAGTACCAGAAAAAAGTCAACACACGCAGAGTTTATAATAAATGAATGTATTAAGATCAAGATAATAATTGTTGACTTTCAAAATAACTAGGAAGGTGACAAGATGACAATGAGATGTAGTATTTTTTCACTCACATGAAGGACTGTCAAAAATTGGGTAAAAATAGTAACTTCAGTGTGAGGAAATGACTATCCTCCCATGTATAGCTCAACTAGAAGTGGCAGTCACTTTAACCACATTGTAGGGAATTTGTCAGTATTCATTAAAAACTATGAGACAAAGGGTAAACCAATGGAACAGCAACACTCTCTAGACACTATGTTGGAAATGAACTTTACAGCTTGGGGGGAGGAAAGTGGGAGGGAGGGAAAGTGGGAGAAAATGAGGGAGGGGGTAACACTGTTCAAAAACAAATGTACTCATTGCTTTACTTATGTAACTGTAACCACTCTGTATATCACTTTTACGATAAAAATAATAAAATTAAACAAATTAAAATTAAAACAAAAACAAAACTCAAAATTCAAGCTGGGAGCTGGTGACTCATACCTGTAATCCTAGCTAGCTACTCAGGAGGCTGAAATCTGAGGATTGTGGTTCAAAACCAGTCCGAGCAGAAAAGTCCATGAGATTATCTCCAGAAAACCAAAAGTGGCACTATGGCTTAAAGTGGTAGAGCACTAGACTTGAACAGAAAATCTCAGGGACGGGGCTGGGAAGGTGGCTCATTGATAGAGTGCTTGCCTTGCATGCATGAGGCCCTGGGTTTGATTCCTCAGCACCACATAAGCAAAAAACCATAACCCGGAAGTGGCGCTGTGGCTCAAGTGGCAGGGTGCTAGCCTTAAGCTGAAGAGCTGAGGGACAGCGCCCAAGCCCAGAGTTCAGGCCCCACGACTGGACCCCCCCCAAAAAAAAAGAAAAGAAAATCTCAGGGATAGTGCCCAGGTCCCAAGTCCAAGCCCCACAATTGACAAGTGTACCCCAAATTCAAGTGTACCCCAAGTGCCAAAAATTCTAAAAATCTCCCCCATGAAACATATGCTCCTGTTCTGCATATGTAAGAATATTTGTTGCTGCTTATAAGACTGTGATGTGTTCGTATTATGCCAGGTGGCTTACACCTATAATAATCCTTGCTACTCAAGAGGTTGAGATCTAAGGATCATGAATCAAAGCCAGACCAGGCAAGAGAATCTATGAGACTTTATATCCAGTTGGAGATGGAGCTGTGGCTCAAATGGTAGAGTGCCAGTCTTGAGTGAAAGAAACTTAGGAACAGCACCCAAGCCCTGAGTTCAAGCCCCAGTACTGCATCCCAAAAAAAAAAGAGTTATTATATAGCTATGATGGAGTAGGTTTATTTTTCTTTTTTGGGGGGGGGGTCTGTCGTGGGGCCTGAACTCTGGACCTAGGTGCTGTCCCTCAGCTCTTCAGCTCAAGGCTAGCACGCTACCACTAGCACCACTTCTGACTTTTTTTTTCCTGCTTATGTGGTGCTGAGGAATCGAACCCAGGGCCTCATGCATGCAAGGCAAGCGCTCTTACCACTGAGCCACCTTCTCAGCCCCTGGAGTAGGTTTATTTTTGTGGATGGATAGGTATCTAAGATATATATGACATTCCTTCAGTCTTGGAGTTGACCATCTAGGCAGGGGAGGACAAATAAGAATAAGTCAATAAATAAAAGATAATTTCAGGTAGTCACATGTGTTCCAAAGAGAATAAAACCCTAAAGAGATCTGGAGGAGCAAAGATGTAGTCATTGAAGGCTTCTCTGAAGAAGTAACATTGAGTGGATTTGAGTGGCACCAAGGAACCAGCTTTTCTTTTAAATTATTTTTATTGTTATTATAAAGATTAAATACAAAGCTGGGCACCAGTGGCTCACGCCTATAATCCTAGCTACTCAGGAGGCTGAAATCTGAGGATCATGGTTCAAAGCCAGCCCAGTCAGGAAAGTGGTGCTATGGCTCAAGTGGTAGAGTGCTAGCGTTGAGTTGAAGATTTGAGAGATAGAGCTCAGGACCAGAGTTCAATACCCATAACTGATCTCCCCCAAAAAAGAAAGAAAAAAAGAAGGAAATACAGACGGATTACAGCTATATATCAGTCAGGTAAAGAGTCCATTTCTTTTTGGACAGTGTCATCCCTTCCTTACTCTCTTTATCCCTCCCACCCCCATCCACAAGTTGTATAGTTCATATTCAACATAGTGTCTAGTGGTTATTCACCCTTTGTAGGAGCCAGCTTTTATCTTTATTTCTTTTCTTTTCTTTTTTTCTTTTTTTTTCAGTCCTGGGGCTTGAACTCAGGGCCTGGGCTCTGTCCCTGAGCTCTTCAGCTCAAGACAAGCACTCTATTAGAGCACCACTTGAGCCACAAGCAACACTTCCAGTTTTCTGGTGGTTAATTAGAGATAAAAGTCTCATGGACTCTCCTGCTTGGGCTGGCTTTGAACCATGATCCTCAGATATCATCCTCCTGAGATTAGAATTACAGGCACAAGCCATTGACACCAGGCAGGGAGCCAGCTTTTTTTTTTTTTTTTTTTGGGTCCAGTCGTGGGGCCTGAACTCTGGGCCTGGGCGCTGTCCCTCAGCTCTTCAGCTCAAGGCTAGCGCTCTACCACTTGAGCCACAGCGCCATTTCCGGCTTTTTTCTTTTTGCTTATGTGGTGCTGAGGAACCCAGGGCCTCGAGCATGCAAGGCAAGCGCTCAACCACTGAGCCACCTATCCAGCCCCGGAGCCAGCTTTTTAAGGAAGGGGAACAGATAGGGGAAAGGCCTTGAGGTAAGATCAAGATCTGCCCAAATGATTAAAAGATGTTGTTTCTGGTAGGGAGTATATGGGAACAAGGAAGGACAGTAAAAGGTAGACACAAGAGCACTAATGCAGAAGCTTGGGCTGAGTGATAGCAGGAGAGCTAGCAGAGAGGCTGGAGCAGAATGTACCAATGTAACTTGGAACTTGCTGATGGACTAGAGGTAGGGAGAGGGAAAGGGACGGAGAAATGACTGCTGGATATCTGGTAGTAAGAAAGGACAGAAGTATGTCATTTGCTCAGATGGATACCATGACACCATTAGGCCTGGAGAGAACAGTACAATCAATCCTCTCTGGCAGTCAGAGACTATGCCATTGTCCTGACTTTCCTCTTAGGGTGTCTCCATTGGCTTTTTCCAGCTGTGAGGCAGTAGTCTTCCCAATGGGGCACAGAGAATATATGTGCATATAAGATGTGTGTGTGTGTGTTTGGTGATGTGTATATGTAAGGTGTATGTTTGGTTATATGGGGTGGATATATGGTGTGTGTGATGTGGCATGCATGGGATGTGTGTTGTACATGAATATGTGTGTAGAGGATGTGCTGTGGTATGCCTGGTGTGTGTGTGTGTGTGTGTGTGTGTGTGTGTGTGTGTGTGTGTGTGGTGCATAGGTGTTGTATGTATGTGGAGGATAAATATACGAGTTGTGCCGGGTGTTAGTGGCTCATGTCTATAATCCTAGTTACTCAGGAGGCTGAGATGTGAGGATCGTGGTTCAAAGCCAGCCTGGGCAGAAAACTCTGTGAGACTCTTATTTCCAATAAACCACTCAGAAAACCAGAAATAGTGCTGTGGCTCAAGTGGGAGAGCTCTAGCCTTGAGCTGAAGAGCTCAGGGACAGTGCTCAGGCCCAGAGTTCAAGCTCTACGACTGACAAAAATATATATATATATATATACATACATGTTGTGTATATGTGTAGTATATGGTATCTGGTATATGTGGAATGTATGGAATATTTGTGTGTGATATGTGTGTATGGTGTTAGTGAAGTGGTGGAGTAGGGGATATAATATGTGTATGTGGTGTATGGTGTGGAAGTTGGGATACTATGGGAGTAAGAGATTGTGTGGTGTAGGTACAGATGTGTATGGTATGTGTGTATGTGTGTGTGTGTATGTGTGTAGTGAATGTTTGTACAGAGGTAGGATATGAGGTCTGGGATATCCACAAGCACATGACAGTGGTCCCTCTGGGGTAGTGCAGAGCTTGGCATGAGAAGGAAAGAATAGACTGCCCAGGTGGGAGGGAAGGGATGGTAGGGGGAAAACAAAGGAGAAGGCAACAATGCTCAATAGGAAATGTACTCATTACCTTGCTCATGTAACTGTCACCTCTCTGTACAACATTTTTACAATAAAAAATGTACAAAAAAAAGAATAGGCTGCCCATCACCCTGGTCCACACACAGTCTTTACACACAGATTGATACTCAATATCTTTATAGCTCTGCTTAACTAGAAATAGGATCATTATGAAGTGATATCTGTGAGAAATTTTCTCATGCTCTTTATATCATAGAGATAGTTCCAAGATTCAGTTCCATAAAAACAGAGAAACGAATAGGAAAAATAAGTCCAATCTGGATCAGAATTTATCAGGGCCTAGACATATGGAGTGAAAACTTACTACGAGAATTATGTCACAGAACAGTGATTGCCTTCCAAAGGAGACTCCTTCAGTCCACCCATGAGCCACTGACTCCTCTGCCAAATGCTATAATACAAGAAGAAAGGATGCTCGTATCAACCCTAAACTCATAGGAGGGCACAAATTCCACCCTTTAGATCTTAACTTTTACCTCCTTTGTGCCTTGCAGGTATATGGAACATGCCTTTGGACAGCCGTTATGTCACACTAACAGGAACCATTACTCGAGGGAAGAAGAAGGGTCAGATGGTGGACATCCATGTCACATTGACAGAGAAGGAAATTCAGGAATTGACCAAGCCCAAGGAGCTGTTAAGGGAAACAGCACCCGAAGGAAGAAAGTCGTGCCAGGTGGGAGCAGACCAAGGGCCCCACGTGGTCCTCTGGACGATAGTCTGCCTGCCTGTGGTCTTCATCCTCTCTTTTGTTGTCTCTTTCTACTACGGCACCATCACCTGGTACAACATCTTCCTTGTGTACAATGAGGAAAGAACTTTCTGGCATAAGATCTCTTATTGCCCCTGCCTCATCCTTTTCTACCCAGTGCTCATCATGGCCATGGCCTCATCCCTGGGTATCTATGCCGCTGTGATCCAGCTCTCCTGGTCCTGGGGGGCATGGTGGCAAACTGCTAGAGACATGGAAAAAGGCTTCTGTGGTTGGCTGTGCAGCAAGCTCGGTCTAGAGGATTGTTCTCCTTACAGCATTGTGGAGTTGCTTGAATCAGATACTATCTCAGCCAGTCTCTCCAACAAAGACCCCACCCAGGAAGTAGAAACCTCCACTGTCTAAACTGCCCATGACTGACTTGCTTTTTTGGCCCCAGTAGACATCATCTTGCAATTCTGGCAGGTTCTTTCTTTAAATCATCTTCTGCCTGCTATAGATCTGGAAGATCTTAGCTGATACTGATACTGATACTGATCTTGATGGTTCCAGGAAGGGAGGGAACAGAAAACCACATTGTGCCAAATCAATCCATCCAATGGACACACTTTTCTTGACTCTTCCCTACAATGACCATTTATTTGGGATGAGGAGATTGATGTTGTTACTGGTGCCTGTAACCCAGGGGAATATGTGATGAAATGTGACAGGGAGAATAAAGAAGCTCAGGGGTGACAAAGTCCATGAAGAAGGTAGTGATGGGGTGACACATTTAATGAACTGGGCTATAGTATATTGTAGCAGAAGGCGAAGATATGTAAAAATCATGTACATTTAGATTGAACTGCACAAAATTAGAGCCCCAAAACAGAGTTTCTTTCTCAGAGAGAAGGCTAGAGACAGATCATCCTGGAAATCTGTCACCCAGGCCCCAGGTTTCTGCATGGTGGGGTATGGCTCTTATTGCCCTTATGTTTAATGTTCCAATAATGACTATATCTTCAGCCACCACATCCATATTTTCTTGCAAAACAACAACAACAGAAAGGACAAAGGAGAACAACTCTTCCTGTTTAAGGAGACTTCCTGGAAGATTGCCCCTCAATATGTCTTATATGTCATAGGTCAAACCTTAGTCACATGACCTCACAACTACAAAAAATGCTGGGGGAATGGAATCTTTTGTTTGAGTAACTATATTCTCAGTGAAATACTGGGAATAATTCTAATTGGAAAGAAAAGGCAAGAATGGCAATTTTGGTAGGCTAGCAAGACTCTCTGCCTTACAACACTTATTTAAGGACATTCAGAATCCCAAATTGCTAACACAATATTTATTTGTTTGCTCATTTATTTATTTATTTTGGCCTGAATCTTACAAGTGAGTTTATACATAGACATGAACTGTATATAGTATGCATATGCTACTCATATACTAGATAATATCTTCTCATATACTTTTCAAGTAAACTTCTATAGTGTCCCATGGTTTCAGGTTTCTTGGAAACAGTGGCTACAAGATGATAATTATACAATCATAGGGGTTGGTGATATTTAATCTATAGATTAAGGAATGGGAAGAGAGAGACTGCATATGCCAAATATACACCCAGCAGGAATTAGTAGCCCTAAGCACAAGCCAGATTTTATCCTTCTATGGTTTGGCAAAATTTCACTCAAGAGTTTTGCTCACAACTTTCTAGATTAATGATAATCATGGCCTTTTCTATGCTGAAAAACTTGACTTCCTGGAATAGGGGAGGTAGACCAGATTTTTCTTATAAAGATTTGATTGTTAAAAACTTCATCCCTTATGATTTCTTAATTTCAAAGTACTGAATTTAAGAGGTCAGGTAATTTGGGAAGTTTAAGTCCTTATAAGAGAAGATGGTGCTCATTTTTGTTTACATCTCAAAAAGAAGCAGTTGAAAGAAGGTCTGTGAACAGAATCAGAGGTTGGCCTTTCTTCCCCACCAGAGGCCAGGACTATCTGCTTAGTGTATGGTGCTGAACTTTACCTTCAGAGCAATTCCTCCCCCCCCTCCCTCCCTCCCTCTTTTCCTCCCTCCCTTCCTTCCTTCCTCCCTATCTCTTCCTCCTTCCTTCCCTCCCTTCTGTCCTCCCTTCCCTTCCAATTTTCTTTCTTTGTTGTTTATGTTATTAGTTTGGCCAGAGGAAATGTCAAACAATTTTTGAAGATAAACTTGGTGCTCTCTGGTGCATTTGAAAAGTTATAAACAGTTGTAATGAAGATAAAATAAAAATAAAATCTGATGCATGCTTGCTTATTTTTTCTTTGAGGCTCTCCAAAATAACTTTGAATGCTATGGTTTGCAAAAAATGTATAGATCCTATAGCGCGCGCGCACGCGCACACACACACACACACACACACACACACAAAGGGTTCTAAAGTGGTATGTAAACACCCAGCCTAGAAGAAGGAAAACTGAGTCAGAACTGAAACACTATTACCTTTTCTGTTAGTTAGCACCTGGAGAACCTCAGAAAAGACATTGGACAGTTAAATATATTTGAATAATTCTGTGAGCTCATAGTTTCTTGATTTGCATAGTAAATGTTGCACAGGAAGATTGTTTTTTAATTACTCAGCTGCCACAATATGCTGAGCTGGACAAACTTCATCTAAGTTTAGATAACTTTATCCAGTGTGGTGATACTGATGTTTCCAAGACTTTTTTTTTTTTTTGTCAGTCATAAGGATTGAACTCTGGACCTGGGGGCTGTCCCTCAGCTCTTCAGCTCAAGGTGAGCACTCTACCACTTGAGCCACAGCGCCACTTCCGGCTTTTTTCCCCCTGCTTATGTGGTGCTGAGGAATTGAACCCAGGGCCTCATGCATGCAAGACAAGTGCTCTACCACTGAGCCACCTTCCCAGCCCCTTGTTGTTTTGTTTTTAAGTCAAGGGTTTATTTAAGTGTAACAGGAGAAAGTAGGAAAGAATGGAGGAGAAAGAAACATTTCCTGCTCTTGTATGGTCAGGCATGTGCATTTCCCTCACTGAACCACATCTCTAGTCATTCTAATTGCCAACCATACTACAACTATTATTTAAAATACTTCATCTTTGAAAGAACTTTGAATTTGAATAGAGAGTAGGAAGAATCTCCTGGGTTCTATGAGCACCAGAAAATGTCTGTTTTGACTCGAATGTGTTCAGCTTCACAAGGCTTCTTTTTTTCTGCATGGATTCTCATTTCAGCCTTAGTTCCTTCATTTCCCAGGCTGAGTTTTCAAAAGGGAGAGAATCTGATTGGATTTTCTTTACCCAATTTGGAGGGAGGTTTGCAGACATTCCTTGCAGGTTTCTGCAGACCTTTATATAAACCACCTGTAGCGTGGACTATTTGACATAGAAAATAGCCAGTTTCTGTGCTGGGACCTCAGGGGCAAGGCCATGTGTTTGGACAGTTTCTTGAAAGGGGATCTGGACATGCCACAGCACTATGATTGATGGCTATGATGGCTGCCCTAAACTAACCATCAGGAGAGTCTTACAATGCTTCCAAGGCTTTTACAGACCCCATCTCCTCTTTGATGTCAAATGCCCTTCCTTCTTTTATTTGTCAAAAACTCCTACTCTTTTGGTCCTATGATGATTGCATCTGTAAGACCTTCAATAGCACCTATTTAAAGAAGAAACAAGGGTTTAAGTGATTTCTGAATTCACACTCAAGGAAATATAACTCCAAAGCACGGACACAAAGCCCTGGAGGCTTTGTGCTAAAGAGCACAAAGGGAAGGGTTTCGGGCAATCAGATTAGAATGAATCCAGAACATTAGTATGAATCCATAACTAGCGTTTCTGCAGCTCCACATCAAGGGAAGGCGGGGGAAAATAAAACAAAAAACACACACACAAACCCACCAAAAACTGCAAGAGGGAATGTGCGCATGCTCAGCGCTGCCGCGCGCTCCCCCTCACCCCCCGCCCGGCTCCCCGGACGCTCGGCCCGGAAGACGCTTTTCCCGGCGGTGCGCCGGGCTTGAGAGTCCGCCGGAACCGAGTTGCGGCGCTACGCGTTCCCGCACGGAAGAGGCCTCCAGGCGCCTGAGAGGACCGGCAGCATGGAGCGGATGGGGAGTAAGGTAGCCGGGCGGTGGGTTTGAGCTTTGCCTGTTAGAGCCGGGGATTGGGAGGTGATCATAGCTCGGCCTCAGGACTTGTGAGATCGCAGCGGTGACCAGCAGCCAGGCGAGGGGCACGGTCATGCTGCTGGACTGGAGTAGGAGGGCCTCGGCCTGGGGATGCCCTGGGCGAGCGATTTGGAAGGCCTCCTCCCACCCTCTGTTTAACTTTTTTTTCCCTCTTAATTACATTTTTTTCTTTGTGCCTGCCCTGGGGCTTGAACTCTGGACCTGCGCTCTGTCCCTGAGCTTTTGTGCTCCAAGTTAGGTCTCTACCACTTGAGGCACAGCTCCACTTCCAGCTCTTTTTTTTTTTTTTTTGAGTGGTTCATTGGAGATCAGAGTCGCTGGGACTTTCCTGCCTGGCTTGGATCCTTAGTTCTCAGCCTTCTGAACAGCCAAGGATTATAGGCGTAATTCTAGAATCACACCGTGGACTTGCACCGCTTCCTGCCTTAACGTAGCGTTAGTTGTGCAAAGGCATTTCCGTTTTCTATCCCCCTTCTGGCCCCTCAGGCTCCCTTCCCTCCTCCTCTCTGCCCCTTATGGTCTCTCCCGTTTTGCTAACCCTACTCCCCATGTTGCTTATGAACCTGGGTTCCTAAAATTTATATTAGAATGGCATTTAGCCAAGATAATCACCTTTGTGGCTTGTTGCAAAACCGAGAGTGAACTAACTTGAAATGTAAAGTGATCTCGAATTCATTGAAATCTTACTCGGTGTAAGGCATAATAGATCTTCCTGTTTCCCTTAATCTTCACGACAACCCCATGCTGTGAAAACTTACATGAAGTTTGCAAGTGGGACAACTGAGGCATGAAGAAATGAAGTGCTTAGCCCATGGTCGCCCAGTCCATAGTGGCAAAAATCCAGATTTTTGAGCCCAGGCTCTTTTTAGAGTCCTGGAGAATCTCTGTTGTTAAGAATCTATGACCTTTGGTATCCCAGATTAATAACGGAAATGATAATGAATTAAATTGATTTTTGGGATGACTGGAAAGAATGATAATTCCAGAAATGCTTTCATTGATCCAGCCATTCACTGATTCAGGGACAGTGTAAGAGTTAAGCGACTGACATCCAGTCTCTTCAATTCCCTGTTGGGAAATGCTGATTAAGCAATTCTGAACTTACAATGATGCTGGTCTGCATTGCTGTCCCCTTTTTAGTTGCTGAAAAATTTGTAGTTCCAGCAAAGGACCTATCTGTGGTAGATGAAGTAAAATCTTAACAGGATATATTGTTTCAGTATAGAAGTGAAGTTACTTAGCCGGTGTTTTTTCTCTCCTGACTTTTTTTTTTTTGGCACTGCTTCCAGAAAGGAATTCAACCAATTTTCCTATCTTTACTCCAGAAATCTCTTTGGTATTAGACATTATTTTCAATTCTTTATAAAATAGGGGAAAATAGTCTTTTGCATATGTTGCCAAAGATATAACTAAACTTGGAAATTATAATTCCCTGAAATAGGAGCTTATCCAGATTTTTCACACTTAAAAAGACAGGAGATTATTACTTAAGGAAACAGTGATTCCTTCACTGATCATTTCTTTTTCTTTTTTTCTTTCTTTTTTTTTTTTTGGGTCCGGTCATGGGGCCTGAACTCTGGGCCTGGGCGCTGTCCCTCAGCTCTTCAGCTCAAGGCTAGAGCTCTACCACTTGAGGCACAGTGCCACTTCTAGCTTTTTTCTTTTTGCTTATGTGGTGCTGAGGAATTGAACCCAGTGCCTCATGCATGCAAGGCAAGCACTCTACCACTGAGCCACCTTCCCAGCCCCTTCACTGATCATTTCTAAATGATATTTTCCCCCTTACATTGAGTCAAACAAGTCTCCCCATAATTTCCATTTGTTGAACCTATTTCCTCTCCTGAAGACCAATCCTTTCGTAAGACAGCTGTCAAACATTTAGTAGAGTCTACCTGTTCCCTTCATTGTTCTCCATTTGGCACAAATATCCAGTTTTTTTCTTTATGTCACATTTTCTAGATCCTTCATCAAATGTCCAATGGTAATCTTCCTCATAGGATACTTAGAATTGCTTAAGTCTGATCAGTACAAAACATAGAAGAGAAGGGCAGTCAGGGTCAAGGAATGTTATTTCTGGAAACAGCTACTTCAATAGTTTTGTACCTCAGTGATTTAACACTAAGATTAACTGACATTCCCAAGGACTTACAGCTAATTAAAAGTAGAGCTGGGTCTATAACTTAGGTCTCTTCCTTCTTTCCCTCTGTCATTTCTCCCTCTATCCCTTCCTATCTCTCTTCATTACCTTCTCTTTCCTCCCCCCACTCTTGGAATCTATTCTACTATTGAGTCAGCCTAAAATATTTAGTGTGATAGAGTGCAAAAGCTATAATGTTGAATCAGGTATACTCTGAAATTGTGAGTTGCTTCTACCTCATGTCTTCTGCAACTAATATTCAAGTAATTTTGGATGTCAAGAATAGGGTAAGAACTTTACATATATCTTTCTTAGTTTGTCTGCTTTATTTTGTGAGGCTCATCTAAGGACTTGGTGTCTTTGCTTATGCAGTGCCCTCTGTAACTTTCTTATTCCTATAACTTACTCCTTACACATATAACTCCTAACTCCTGTATGTGTGTATGTTAGTACTGGGGCTTGAACTTAGGGCCTCACTCTCTTGCTTGGCTTTTTCACTCAAGGCTGATGTTTCACCATTTGAGCCATAGCTCCATTTTTGGCATTTTGATGTTTAATTGAAGGTAAGAGTCTCATAGACTTTCCTGCCTGGGTTGGCTTTGAGTCCTGATCTTCAGATCTTACCCTCTTGAGTAGCTAGGATTCTAGGCAAGAGCCACCAGTGCCCAGCTTGACTCCTTACTTTCTAAATTCACCCACAGATCAAATTCAAAAAGGCTTTTCTGTCTCATATGCTTCTCTGTTCCGTCTCCCACTGTTGGGTAGATGCTTATCTTGTTCCTCTTAGTACCCACTGTAAACATCTGCATATAGCATTGTCCTGACAGTATTTGTTGTGTCTTGTGTCTTCCAGAATAGATTTGGTATCTTGGTTAGTCCAGAGCCTCAGTTTACAACCTTACTTAAATTGTCAGGCTGTATCATTTTAGCATACATAGTCACCTATTGCCCCCCAAATACTTAATAGCAAACCACCCTTTCAGTAACTTACATCAAAAGTATCTACTCTTATGCACATAGGTCTGCAGATTAACTGCAGTTTGATGTTTGTTAGGTTAAGTGGGCTAGACAAGTATATTCTGCATGTTGGCTTCCTATTTGTTTACCATAAATTTATTCTGGGGCTCAGGCCAAAGATACCGTAGCTACCTGGAACATGCTCCTCTCCTAAGCAATGCTTTCTGTCTTTTAGGATGTATCAGGATAATTTAAGCATTATCTAAAGTGAAACTTTAAATGTTGTACGTGCATTCTCTATATAGAACAGATCATCTCCTTTATTATTGCCTTGCCTAACTCAGTTCTTTGAGTATCATAAGCAAGGGTCATAATTCTGATTTTATTTTTGCTCATCTGATTTTTTTTTTTTTTTTTGGTCATGGGCTTGAACTAAGGGCCTAGGCACTGACCCAGAGCTTTTCTAGTCAAGGCTAGTACTCTACCACTTTGAGAGCCACAGCTGTATTTCTGGTTTTCTGGTGGTTAATTAGAGATAAGAGGCTCAGAGACTTTCTGGCCTGAGCTGGTTTGGAAATGAGATCCTCAGATCTCAGCCTCCTCAGTTATGAGCTACCAGTGCCAGGCTCAGAATCTTTTTTTTTTCTCCCAGTCCTGTGGCTTGAGTTCAGGGCCTGCACACTGTCCCCGAGCTTCTAAGGCTAGCATTCTACTACTGAGCCACAGCACCACTTCCAGCCTTTTCTGTTTATGTGGTTCTAAGGAATCGAACCCAGGACTTCATGCATGCTAAGCAAGCACTCTACCACTAAGCCACATTTCCAGCCTCTCAGAATCTTTTTTAATGACTTATTTTTTCATATTCTGTTTTGGACTTGGTTTCTAGGCAGCTGTTGTGCTGTGTATGGACGTGGGCTTTACTATGAATAACTCCTTTCCTGGTAAAGAGACCCCATTTGAACAAGCAAAGAAGGTGATGACCATGTTTATCCAGCGACAGGTAAATTTCAGCCTGATCTTGAGCTTGTAATCTGTGTTTTAACGATTTGTCGGCTTTACCTACTAATGTGAAATACCAGTCTCCTCCTAATGTCCAGCCTCAGTGTTGTCAGAAATCTGGGACGTTCTTTTTCATGCCTTTACATACAAGTTCACCTACCACTGGAGTCTGATTTTTGTTTTCCTGTTCTGGCTCACTCACTGGATGTTTCAGTTTTTATCAGACAAGGCGGTATAAAGTAATGTTTAAAAGTACAATAGCTAGAGCCAGAAAAGGAATTCATGGTGGCTGCCTTGATGCCATCTGTCACAGTATCTCAATGCCCTGTTCATAAAATGAGAAAATAATAATGCCTCTCACATAGCATTGAAAACAGAGTGGATGTAGATAAGTGCTTAGAAGAGTACTTTCAAACACTATGAAATTTTTAGCTCTTATTTTTACCTCTTCTGATTGGTACAACTGCCAAGTTTGCTAAGGCCACAGGGCCCTGGTTCATTCACTGGGAGCTGCAGCCCCTCCTAGACACCTCTGCTGTTTTTCTGGGTGTTGTTACTTTCTTGGGCATTATTGCATCTCACCTATCATTCTAGATCTTTTAGTCTTATGACCTAGAGTTCTTGAGGTATCAAGAAAGAGAGTGCTAGCAACCCATCTTTGGTTATTGATGTGTATTTTGTTATTGAAATAGTACTGCTATATCTTAGTATAGTGCAGAGGCTTTAAAAAAATGTACTAAGGATTATAAATCCAGGGCCTAGCAATATGAAGCAGATGCTCAACCACTGAGCCATACCTTCAACCCATAGGGTATTTTATTGCTCTTGTTTTGAGAGAAGCAGTACTTTATTTATTTATTTTTTATTCGGCCTCTTCCATGAGAACTAACGTGAATCTAGGAAGCTGGAAGATAAAATCTGTGTCCATTCCCTCCAATTTTTTTTTTCCATACCTGGTGTTTTCTGATTGGAGCAGGATTATCTTGCTTTGAGGTGAAATTTTGAACCGTTTTTCTACTTTCTTTCTTTCCTTCTTTCTCTCTTTCTCTCTGTTTCTTTGTTTCTCTCTCTCTCTCTCTCTCTCTCCCTCCCTCCCTTCCTCCCACCCTCCGTTCCTCCCTTCCTTTCTTTTGCCAGTCCTGGGGCTTGAACTCAGGGCCTGGGCACTGTCCCTGAGCTTCTTTTGTTCAAAGCTAGCATTTGAGCCACAGCGCCACTTCCTTTTTTATGGTATTGAGGAGTTGAACTCTGGGTTTTATGCATGCTAGGCAAGCACTCTACCACTAAACTATATTCCCAGCCCTTTCCTTATTTTCTTAAAAACTAAAATGTCTTGTATTATAGATAACCTTCAAGCCTTTCCTACTTTCTTTCCTTTTCCTTAGCTTTAAGTAGTTATCACTATGCATAATTTCTACTATTTTGGCATAAGTATTCATAAGTAATATTTTGTGTTTTGCAAAGCTGTCAGAAGAACATGTTTTTTAATGTGTACATATTTTTTTCCTCAAACTTACGTTTCTGAGTTTAACTCATGTTGACAAATGTTACGCAGATTCATTCATTTTATTGAGTATAATGTCCATTGTATAAAAATTCTGCTCTGGGCACTGGTGGCTTGTGCCTGTAATCCTAGCTACTCAGGAGGCTGAGATCTAAGGATTGCAGTTCAAAGCCAGCCCAGGCAGGAAAGTCCATGAGACTATTATCTCTAATGAGCCACCAGAGAACTGGAGTGGTGCTGTGGGTCAAAGTGGTAGAGTGCTAGCTTTGAGCAAAAAAGCTCAGTGACAGTGCCCAGGCCCTAAGTTCAAGCCCCACAACCAACAACAATAACAAAATAATTCTGCAGATTTTTTATTTGTTTGATTTTTCTGTCGATCCTGGGGCTTGAACTCAGGGCCTGGTTACTGTCCCTGTGCTTTTTTTTTTTTACTCCAGGCGCACTCTACACCTAAGCTATAGTTCCACTTCCAGCTTTTTTCAGGGGTGCAGGTAGTTAATTGGAGATAAGAGTCTCACAGGCTTTCCTGCCTAAGCTGGCTTTGAACCAGGATCCTCAGATCTCTGCTTCCTGAGTAGCTAGGATTATAGGCCTGAGACACTAGTGACTGGCTCTGCAGTGTATTTTTTTTTTTGGGGGGGGGAGGGTGGGTTCTGGTCATGGGACCTGAACTCTGGGCCTGGGCGCTGTCCCTCAGCTCTTCAGCTCAAGGCTAACACTCTACCACTTGAGTCACAGTGCCACTTCCGGCTTTTTTTTTCTTCTGCTTATGTGGTGCTGAGAAATCGAACTCAGGGTCTCAAGCATGCAAGGCAAGCCCTCTACCACTGAGCCCTTCCCAGCCCCTGCAGTGTATTTTTGTGTTCTGCTGATGGATGGGTAGCTTATATGTTTTGCTCTGTTAAAAACAGTGCTGAAGTATAAGCTCCCTTGTTCACTGTCTCCTTGTGTACATGAGTCTCTCTAAGCCATATGTAACTTCCATGAAATATCTGGAATATGGAATATTAACTTGCAGATTATTTGTGCATGTGTATGTGTGAGTGTTGATACTGGGCTTGAACGCAGGACTCAGGTGCTATGCTTAGCTTTCTCATTCAAGGCTGGAGCTCTGCCACATCTCCACTTCTGGCCTTTTGTTGGTTTATTGGAGTTAAAAATTTCATGGACTTTCCTGCCTGGGCTGGCTTTGAATTGAAGTCCTCAAATTTCAGCCAGGCAAGAGCCTGGATAACTATTGGTCTTTTAAAATGGTAACTTTGAATGGAAATGGTAACTTTGAATAGATATTCTAGAAAGACAGGCTAACGTCTTCAAATTATCCATAATTAGTTTTCATTAATAATTAAGTTTGTCCAGGCATTGGTAGTTTATACCTATAATCCTAACTACTCAGGAGGCTGAGATATGAGGAAGGATTGTGGTGCAAAGCCAGTACGGTAAGTCTGGGAGACATCTTATCTCCAATTATCTACTAAAAATCCAGAAATAGAGCTTTAGCTCAATGTGGTAGAGTTCTAGCCTTGAGCACAAAAGCTCAGGGACAGTGCCCAAGCCCTAGGACCAGCACCAAAGAACAACACAACAATGAATTAGAGTCTAGCCAGGCATCCGTGGCTCAGGCCTGTAATCCTAGCTACTCGGGAGGCTAAGAGCTGAGAATCATGCTTCAAAGCCAGCCTGGGCTGGAAAGTCTGTGAGACTCTTTAATAAACCACCAGAAAACTGGAAGTGGCACTGTGGCTCAAGTAGTGAAGTGCTCACCTTGAGCTGAAGAGCTCAAGGAAAGTACCCAGGCCCTGAGTTCAAGCCTCATAACTGACAGGAAAGAAACAAAAAAAAAGAGATTCTGCCTTGCCATGAAGTCATCAAGAGCATTTACTCCTTACCCATTCCCTTACACTTACTTGAACTTGAACTTGAAATAAAGACAACCTTGTCATTGTCAATAAGACCCAAGTTTCATCTATTTCTGTGACTCTAGGGACATACTTCCTAAGCTTAGATATCTTAGTGCCTCAGGTGGTTCTAATATGCTTTTCAGCCTTCTTATACTCTTCTGTAGGTGTTTTCTGAGAGCAAGGATGAGATTGCCTTAGTCCTGTTTGGTACAGATGACACTGAGAATAGCCTTGCTAGAGGGGACCAGTATCAAAACATCACAGTGCACAGACACCTGATGCTACCAGATTTTGACTTGCTGGAGGACATTGAAAACAAAATCCAACCAGGTTCTCAACAAGCCGACTGTATCCTTTTTTAACCAGAGAAGATGGAAGAAATTTCCTTTAATCTGAGAAATCGTAATACAATCTGGGGAGGCTCTCTCAGAGTCCCAGCTCTGAGCAACTGGGGATTTTTTGCTCTGGAGAGAGAGGTAATATGTGTTAAGATTTAATCAGGTTGGATGCCCGACTTCAGGTCTTCTTTGCTCTTTCTTTGTATTAGTGATATAAAGGGATTGAGAGGTAAAGGTAAGGAAAAATCATAGGAAATGTACATGCATATTGACCATCTATAGAGGGTTTGGTTCTGGTTCTGGTTAAAAATGTGTGGAAGTGCCAGGTACCTGTGGCTCATGCCTGTAATCCTGGCTACTCAGAAGGCCTGAAATCCGAGGATCATGTTTCAAAGCCAGCCCAAGCAGGAAAGTCCATGAGACTCTTACCTCCAAACACCAAAAATACCAGGAATAGAATTGTAGCTCAAGTGGTAGAACACTAGCCTTGAGCCAAAGAGCCTGAGTTCAAGCCCAGGACCAGCACAAAAACAAACAAAACAAGTTTAGAAGTAAAACCAAAATATTTGAAAATAGAAAAAAAACTTGTTAAAAGATTATAGTTTTAGCTCTCTCTGCCCTTTAATGGAGGATGTTATTCGGTGAAAATTAGGTTAATATCCAAACTGAGATTTCCAATTTCTAACATCTAAACTAAATTTTTTTCCCCAACTAAACTAATTTTATTTATTTATTTATTTTTGGGTCCGGTCGTGGGCCTGAACTCTGGGCCTGGGCACTGTCCCTTAGTTCTTCAGCTCAAGGCTAGCGCTCTACCACTTGAGCCACAGCGCCATTTCCGTCTTTTTTTCTTTTTGCTTATGTGGTGCTGAGGAATCGAACCCAAGGCCTCATGAAGCACTCACTCTACCACTCAGCCACCTTCCCAGGCCCTAAACTAATTTTAAAGGCTTGGGCATCTTTCACAAAATTAGTACCATTTCTGGTCACTGGGAGGTGCTGTTGTGTTGGAAGTGAATTATAAATGCTGCATTAAGGCTTCATATTTGAGAATGGACTGTGATCACCAAAAATAAGTTAATGGTACTGTTAAACGGCATTTTTTGGTTTAATGAGTGAAATATGTGAGATTACCTTTTGCTTATTTTGTTTGTCACACTATGTGTGTCAGGATTTATACTTTGGGTCTATAACCTTTCTGAATATGATTAATGAGGAAATTTTTGAAAGAAAGGCACTTGAGTAAGTGCTTGTGGTTTAGGTGTTGTTTTTTTTTTTTTTGGTTATCACATAGTCCAATGTCTACAATTCCCAGCTCCTCTGGGATAAAAATAAAAAGTTGTTGTTTGTGGAGATGGGGAATACAATTTTGGGCATGCAGGGATTATTTGGTGCTCTCACTACCCTTAACTAGCAGAGTTCTGGATGCCCTCATCGTGTGCATGGATGTGATTCAGCGTGAAACTGTGTAAGTGTTTCATCTGAAAAAAGCTAGAAATGAGCCTTTCTGCTAAAACTATATGGATTGGTTGTACTTTGTGAATTATTGTTAAACAGATAATATGTTTATATGGCAAAATGGATATCTGATAGAATTCAGTGGTTCAACTTCTAAGTGTTTTTTTTTGTTCTTGTTATTGGTGTGTGTGTGTGTGTATGTGTGTGTGTGTGTGTGTGTGTGTGTGTGTGTGTGTGTTAAACTATGTTTATATGGCAAAATGGATATCTGGTAGAATTCAGTGGTTCAACTTCTAAGTGTTTTTTTTTTTGTTCTTGTTATTGGTGTGTGTGTGTGTGTTGGTCCTGGGGCTTGTACTCAGGGTCTAGGCATCTAGGCACTATCCTTGAGTTTCTTTCACTCAGGGCTAGCACTCTACCACTTGAGCCAGAGCTCCACTTCCAGATTTTTTTGAGTAGTTTATTGGAGATAGAGTCTCACAGACTTTTTTGCCTAGGCTGGTTTGGCTTGGAACTGTGATCTTCAGATGTCAGCCTCCTGAGTAACTAGGATTGTAGGCTAGCTACCAGACACCAGTGCCCAGCTTCAACTTCTAGTTTTTAAAAGTTTAAAGAGAAAAAATACTAAATTTGGTAGAAATTTATCTCTGGGAAAAACAAGCATTTGGTTTATTTCAGTTTTTATTATTTGACTTAAAACTAATGACCAGCTGGGCGCTGGTGGCTCACGCCTGTAATCCTAGCTACTCAGGAGGCTGAGATCTGAGGATCGCGGTTCAAAGCCAGCCCGGGCAGGAAAGACCGTGAGACTCCTATCTCCAATAAACCACCAGAAAACCGGAAGTGGCGCTGTAGCTCAAGTGGTAGAGCGCTCGCCTTGAGCT